AATGTGTGCATGGAGCCACCTGATAACCACTCTGAACAGTTACATTTAAGCTTATTCAAAAATGTAATTTATTTTCTAGGTGGAAGGGTTAGTAGGGAAGAGGTGTTTTTAAATGCCTTTCCTACAAAAATACATTTGTGGTTGGTATGTATTCTGTTACACAAACAGATATGCTTAGTTTGGGGCATCCTCTGCCTTTGTTCCTTCCTTGTTCTTTTTTTTCTCCTTTTTTCTTTTTATAAAGTAAACTAATTTGTGTAGTGCAATCATTCCCTGCTTGCCTCCATCCAAATATTTAACTACCACTATTACTTTCTTAGGAAAATGAGATGTGCATTTGCATCATGTTCTGGCAAAAGCATATTGCAGTCCTAGAGTGATTGACAAGCAACACAATTACCTTTGCATGGCTAGACAGACCGTTTCTGCATTGAAATAGCACTACATCTGTTCAGTGCATGACAGCAACTCCCTTCTGCAACATGGGAACTGCTGTGTGTATAGCTGCACTTCCACATGGGTCCCCATCTTCTTTCCCCACATGTGTATCTGATATTTTAAGTGCACCTGTTTGCTAAGGCTTTATAAAAGCAGTGGAGCCATTTCTGGAAAGGCCCAAAGGACTCTGCAAGGGCTCTTTTGCTCTCCACAACTCCTCAAGAACAGCACCTTAGAGGCTGGGATGTCACTCAGTTTACATGATGCTTTCCTAGCATGAACAGACCCCTAGACTTGGTCACTAGCACTATAAAGTCTGGCAAAGTGGTGCACACCTGTTTTCCAAGCATTTAGGAAACAGAAACAGGGAGAGCAAAAGTTCAAGATTACGTCTGATACATAGTGAGTTCAAGGCCAGCCAGGGCTACATGAGACTATGGGAAGTGAGGAGAGAAAATATCAGACCCCAAAGAGTCTGTACTTCCGTTTTGTCTCATGTTTAATTAAAAATAGCACCTGGAATATGTCACTTAGCAACACAATAATTTATTTCCTTCTTGAACTACAAGCAGCAATATCACCCATTTCTTGAAAGAAATGCAAATCCTTTAGCCAGCCACCCCATCCAGATCTATTGAATCAAGATTCTGGGTTGGACATAGCACTGGCCATCTGTGCTCCAATTAGTCCTCCAGGTGAGTCCCAGGCACCTTCAAGTCCAGCCAGCACTGTCTGCCATGGCATTAAGACTTCTGCTATGGAACCACAAGACCTGGGCTAGAGTATTTATTATTTAAGTCAATTTTTTTGGTGTCTAGGGAGGGGAATGGAGGCCTTGTTGGTGGAGGGGACACAAGGAGGGCGAAAAGCACAGGTGCTTCAATGGGGCCCATCCCAGAGCAGTCAACTTGCAGACAGCAGTGATGCTTTGTGCTGTGACTAGTCATTTGGGGGAAACAGCACTGCTGTAATGTTGGCAGCCCATTCCAGCTGGTTTTCTTTACTCTCAGTGAGAGAACGATGGCTGTCAGCTCATGGCTTCCTAGGGTCACTAATGTCAGGGAGGCAGATTACACACTGTTTCCCTTGTGTCTCCGAAATGTACTTGGTACAAGAGACAATTCCTTCTCGTTGTGGTTGGTAACAGCTGGAATTCTTGACTTCTTTGTCTAAAAGCCACCATCTCCTAAGACTCCCTAGGACCCAAAGCTACTAAGTGTGCCCTTCTTCCAGGCCCTCCAAGGAGCCAGACACCTTCCAACCATGGGTCCTTGCACCTGCTATTCCCTTTGCCTGCTCGCTAGTCCTTCTGAACTCCCCTGTTACTGCCTCTTTCCATTATTTGCCCTTTTAGGGTGCCTTTGTTTCTCCCTTCTGTAGCTGCAACTGTAGCTTGATGCATGGCCATGGCTTTACTTTCTTCCCCTCTGGGGGCTGTAAGATTTCTCGAGATCAGTGGTGGGAGATACTCATGTGTGATGTCCCAGCACAGTGGTTGGGGAAGAGGAAACCTTCCAATACTTGCATCCCATTTGCTTGTGCTTATGAGAATGAGGGAGCTTGCCCACAGTTTCTCTTCAATTCCATGTCTCATAAGTTTGAGTGTCAGAGGTCTCAGAATAACCTTCCATCACCATGGGGACTACAAACCACAACAACAGGGGTCTTTTTCAGAGCAAAGGCTCCCTGAAGGTAAATGGCACAATGTGTTCTTTCCTGACTTCTGAAAGCTCTTAATACAGATAAGTGGGAATGCCTGGCAGGATACCAGTGCCTATGTACAAACGCTCTTTCTGGAATAGAGCAGCAGCCATGTTCCCTGAAAGGACCCAGTCTCAGACATGACACATAGCTCTTCCTCCTGTTCAGTGATATGTGCCCCTGAGCCTCCAAGGTCTAACTTTGACTTTTCTTTCTCTTATTCACAAAATAAAACAGAACTCATCTATCCTATAGACATTTAGGATAATGCAAGGCTTCCTGTATTTAAATGAATACGCATTTTTTTAAGTATTAATATTTACTCACACCCCTTTAGTCTACTGTTAGGATTCGGGATTGTTTTTCAATCTTATCTCTTCTCTTCCTCCAATGTCACTAACCATTACAGCTTAATATGCAAACCAGACACAAATCTCAGATTTCAGACTCTCAACAACAACAGTAGTAATAAGACAGAAAGATAGGGAATCACTGAGAGGCTTACTCTGGCCTCAAGCCAAAGATTCTCTGTCTTCCAGTCCTTTTTAGGGTCTGGGTGCCATCTTCTGAAGAGATAGCTATTACACCTCTTCTGGGCATAAAGAAAGGTATGAGTATTACACCTTAAATGAGATCCAATATAGGGGAATCCTATGATGCCACTTCTATGGCCAAACAAAGTATAGACTCAAATGTATTTTACATGAGATGGAAACTAGCAGTCTAGACAGACAGGAGTCTGACATGCTGATGTGTACACAGAGACGGTTTGTTACTGAGCTTCAGGTAGCTCTGGGGTCACAGTTGAGTTTATCGCCTCCGTGCTAAGCATGTTGGTCATCACCTCAAAAGCATTACCTAAGTCCTATGTTAGCATATATGTGCACACCTCTTCTCCCATTTCACCAAGCGTCAGTCAAGCTCAGATGTCTTTAGTAACTTTGCCCCAACTGCAGAGCTGTTTGCCAGGGAAGTTGCACTTTGATGCAAATATCTGTTTCTGCACCTTGCCGGGCACTTAAGTGGAGATTTGGCTGCTGTTGGATGAGGATACTGGGAGAAAAGATATTGGGAACCAAGGGGTAGCATGAACAAAGGCATGATGGCATGAAAACATGACAGACACAATCTGCTGTAGCTAAGCCAAGGTCTGCGCTTTGGGGCCCTAAGCTACTATCTGTTGCTTGCCTGCTTTTCTTCAGATCTGCTCTAAGGCCTGCTTGTAGAAGCCGATCTTGCCTTCTGACCCCATGACAGTGCATTTTTATGTTGCTAATGTCAAAGCGAATTCAAAGCCTAGCTCAGGACCTTAGAAACCTCTGCCTGTTTCTTGGATTAGGGTTTAGCGCTGCTTGACAAGTGTTCCCGTGAACTGTAGCCCGCCAGGATCAAATACAAACAACAGCTGAAAGCCGTTCCTACCAACCTCCTTAGTGTGTGAAATCCCTGCCGCACTTTAAGGATAATGGTACTTGGGGGTTAGCCAATCAACTCTGAAAGAGCTCTGGGAAAGAAGCCTACTACCATGTTCTCCAGCAGGCCGGGGTCACTGCTGTGTATGAGTGTGTGCGCTTCAGTGATGAAAGGCACTTTCCCTTGGCTTAAGATGTTTGGCTTTTCTGTGTGTTCATTCTGCTCATGCAATTCTTTTGTATCAAAGTTGTGCTTCTATTAGGGCCCTGGCTAGACTCAGCAATGGATTCACTGGTCCTTTGCCAGCATCATGAAGCATCTAGAAACTTGATGGGAAGATGCTAGGGGAAGTTGCTGATGATTATTGTCCCCTGAAAACAACAGTTCAGATGCACAGCACTGTACCCTCAGGATCTCTGCAGTTCTCGCAGAAGCCGGAAAGGAGTCCAGGGTGCATGTGACCTGTGCAAACCCACTCAGATACTTATGAAATAGAATGTAGTTCCATGATGACATAACATTGAGCTTCTTTGCTTTGATATTCCAAGAGACTTGGCAAAGTACAAGACCATTCTCTGCCTCCTTGAAGTGGCTTTTTTTGGGGGGGAGGGTGCTCACTTATAGGACTATACAGAGCTTTCACCAAGTTGTGCTTATTCATTCAGAAAGTGGAACCTTGCCTTAGTCTGAGTGTGATTTATCTGAATACACAACTGAACTCTCCACACACATATTCATGGTTACATAAGGGCTTGGTACACACAAACACATACATGCACTCCCATACATTTGTGCAGATGAAAAATACACATATTTTGCATATCTGCATATCTGCACATGTTCACTTGTGGTTTTCTGCTACACTGACAATAAAAGTCTCACAAAACTGCCATGGGTAACAACATTACAGGATGAAATAATTACAGAAGAAAATATCTGACCCCATCTGGGTTACTTGAGTGTCCCCTAAGGCTACCCATCTTTAGCACACTGTGAAAGTGCTCTGCCCCTCAGATGTGCCCTTGTAAGCACAGATGCTGTGTCTTGTATTTGGTGACAGAGGGGAGCTGTGGTTTGGTTCCAAACGTTAATAGTATTAAGATACTCAGGTCTGTGTAGGCCACATGAAAATACATATGAGCCCTCTTTGCCTTTCCAACACATGCAATGCACACCCTTCTGAGAGCGGGAAACTCATTTTGGTGCCTAAGCAAAAACCACTCTGACTCTGGTCCACCATGAAACCCAGCCACAATGGAACCCCAGCCGAAAGTTCCCACTTTGATGGACAGCTGTTGTCTCCAACCTCCTTAATCAATTTGAAACTCTCCTCAGTTCCTGTGTTTCGGATCATGAGACCAGACTAACCTGGCCCGTGCGGGGTTGGTGCCTCTGCATGGGGAACTGCACTAATCCGAATGTTTCTCTTTGTGTGTGCACCTTTACAGTGTTGTTTACCAGGATGGATTTTATGGTGCAGACATTTATGTAAGTATTCATTAACGTGCATGCTGTCCTCCTTAGCTCCAGGGGTCATTCTTTGTACAAGTTTGCTCTAAACTCAGTGGGGACAAACCACCTCTTCTGGGTCAAAAGGGAATTTCCAATTGCCGTTCAAGGTGAAGGGGCTGCTGATCAGGAGCTCAAAGGACACGTGATTTGCTCTTTGAAGGGAATTAATGACTTGGACTTGATCAACTTTGGAAGAGACGAACACAACTGTACCCATTTAAAAAGGTTTTTTTTTTTTCATTATTTTCTCTGTGCCAAATTAAAAACTCCACCCACTGTGACATTCTCTCTAAAGTGCTCAGTATGCTCTGTGTGTTTTCAGTTTGATATTCAGAACAACAGCTGTAGTTAACAGCTGCAGAGAACCGAAAGGTATTTTCATGGCTGGTAGTTTTTTATGCTTTCCTTATAAATGAAATTATTTATTGACAGTGCTAGGAACATTCCATTTCTCTCATTTCTCTGAACACAGCAATAAACATCTAACTCTGCCACCACCACATTTGTGACCTGGAGTGTTGGACAATCCTTCTAACCTTTTATTCTTTTCATCTCTCCAAGTGGGTCTAGAACTATCTGCTGATTTGTTCCATTTCATGAAAAGCCTCCTGAGGAAGATGTCCCTCATCATCATGCAGCGCTGCTGTTATGACAGTAGTTTAGAACAGATGAAGGAGGCAGGAAAGGAGTCCATTCCTAAATCTCTCTCTCTCTCTCTCTCTCTGTCTTTCAAATACACACACACACACACACAGATGTATCATTAATGACCCCAAGTAAGTAAAGGGAATCATACTTGTTTTTCTCATACTAGATAAAAAAAAAACTCAAATAATATTTCTTTGCAAACTGATGCTACTTATTAGAAAATAAGAGACACTGGTTATTTTATTTTATCCCCTTTGAATCTCACAGTTTTGAAGCAAGGTAATAATCTCCATCAGTGATGGTCTTAGTTTCATTCTGATTGCATCTGAGACACTTGCTGTCACCTTCAGGTTAGTACAATTTTTGCCCTCTTGCTAGACTAGCATGAATGAACATGTTCTTCATTTATCCTGAGAACAATTGACTTCTCACTGTTATAAAACTTAAGCTGCCCCTCCTGTGCCCTTTTCTCCAGAATTTCAGTTCATGCCATTTCAAGTGTGAGATGGGCAGAGCCTGGTCCTACTTTTAGGTATAAAATTAATTCAAGAGTCAGTCCATAGCCATAGCCTCTGTGTAGCCTAGAGAGGATTATGCAAATGAACCCAAAATTAGTGAAATTAGGGCTTTATTATTATGTCCTTAAAGTTGGGAGATGGAGGTGTATACTTAAGAGATAAAATCCAATAGAAATAAAACTACCTGCATTAACATCTTTTCAAGAAAAAATAAATATGAGACTTTTTAGTTAAAAATAAAACATTATAATTTAGCCATCAATTATTGGGTACCAACCTCTCTGTGCCTCAGTTTCTCATATGTAAACTACTTCATTAATTCTGCTCTCTCATGAATATTTTAAATGGATGATCTTTTCCTGGCCTTGTAGATTCTTTTTTAACACGAAGAAAGTGTTAAGCAGCAGCAAGGTTGCCACAACAATGGGAAACAGGGCTGGGGAGGTGAGTCAGTCAATAAAGTGATTGCCATGCAAAAATGAGAGACTGAGTAAAAGTCTGAGCACCAACACAAAAGTCCAGGCTCAGCAGTGCATTTCTGTAACCCTGGAGCCGGGGTAGCAAAAACAGAGCTGCAACACTTAGTGGACATCTAGTCTAGTGGACTGGTGAGTTCCAGGTTCTGTGAGACCCTACATCACAAAGTGAGGCAGAGATTTGATCAAAAATGATACCTGATGTCAACCCCTGGCCTCTGCACATGGATGTGCATGTCTACAATATGTGTGCATTTGTACACACACATACATACACAAACACAAACACACACACACACACACACACAGAGAGAATAGGAGAGGAGTGGAGTAATTCTAGCACTGCACTCTGTGTATCCTGGGGTACTAGGGGCTACGACAGAAATACCTAGAGCAGGGCAAAGAGAACAAAGCAGGCTCAGAGAGTGGGTACAGGTATGTCACTCTCCTTATGTTCACTTAGGAGAGTCACTAGTCCTGGAGGAAAAGCTTCCTGTGTCCTTAGGGAACATTTAGAAGCCTCTGTAACCCAGAAACCCAAGTCCCCTGTGCTGAGTGGGGCAACTCCTAAAGTCATTAGTATGAAGCTTGCAGGAAAGATCAGAGATTCTTCAGATTCTACTGCCTGATGCCTAAGTTGTGCAAATTGCTCTCTTTTCAAGCTGCCCATACCATTTTCCAACTGTTCACATCACGAAAACAATGTGACTTTTCAGTGTCTCTTCCAAATATGTCATGAGGTAACCCTGCTGAAGATAGACTATCTGTTGCCCTGTGTTTGTCCTCTGGGCTCACATGGACCACTGTAGCACAGTGGGCTGAGGGGTGTGTTCCTGTAAGATAGATGTGAACTAGAGTATAGGACCTTTTGCCTCAACAACAGAACAGGGGACCATGGGCAGCCCTAACTTCAAAGGAAGCAAACGACATGAATTATTCCCTGCATGCTTGTGAAAAACTGTGGTGAGGAAAGCATCCCTCCTATTCAATGGAGGTGACCCCAGGAAGTAGGCTCTAGGATGAGCTTGTGTGCCATGCAGCCAGCAACAGATCATTGACAGGGGAAGTGCAGAACAGGGGTAGGCAGGCTTATCCCCAAAGCCCTCCTCCTGAGGGGCTATAATACACACTTCTATTTTAAAAGAAAGGGATTCCATTTTTCTAAATAACATGCCAGTCTGGAAGATAGCATGCATCTTAGTGAAAAGTGTTGAAAAAAACTCATTAGTTAATTTTATTACTGCCATGACAAAGTTCCCAGAAAAATAGACTTAAGGGAGGGAGACTAACTTAGGATCATGTTTGAGGGCACAGTCAGCCATGACCAGAAGTCATGGTGACAGGAGCATGAGACAGCTGGTCATATGACAATCCACAGTCAGAAAGCAGAGAAAGATAAATGCCAGCACTCACACCACTTTCTTTATTCATTCAGTGTAAGACCCCACCCATGGAAGGGTGCCATTTACACTTCAATTAACCCAGTCAAGAAACTCCCTGCCAGACATAGCCTGAGTGTATTTCCTAGGTAGAGCTAGATGCTGTCAAATTGATAGTTAATTAACCAACCCACTCATTTTAACTAAAAACATGCCAAATTGAATAATAATGAAATAATAGTAAGAACAATATTAATTGAAAGTTGTGGAAATAGACTTCCCTGGACCTACAGAGCTGAGTCCCTTGTTCACAGGTAAAGCTATAGGTGGCACAAAACTGGACACTGAGGAAGGAGTAGAAAATAAGTGCTGGTTGACATTTTCAGGGAGGGTCAAAGAAGATGGCATCTGATCAAGGACAATGATTGAAAATGGAGAAAGGGAGAGAGAAAAACTATAGTAGAATAATGGAAATGTGACTAATGCTTGGTGGAAACTGGGGTAAGACAATACTAAATTAGGCAATAGGATAAAAGGGGAGAGGAAGGAAAGAATACACAGAGTGTTAACATTACCTGTTTATTATTATTATTATTATTATTATTATTATTATTATTATTATTATTATTATTAAGAATACCCTAATGTCTGAAGAGGGAGAGCAGTGCTGAGCCCCACCCCAGCATGTAAACCTCAAGATTCCAGTGCATTTCACTCTACTTTTTGTTAGAGACTCTGGTTTGTACCATGTCTCAGCAAAACTGTTTCTTCATTTAAGTTACTCGCAATAACCAGGTGTACTCGCTCCATGCTCAGTGAGCTTGGGAACAGAAGGAATGAGCCTGGAGCTTTGGGGGACACAGAGAAAGCCTCTAACCTTCAACTCCAAACCTTTCCTTCCCAAGACTTTATGTTGAAATGTTCCAGGTAGGGCTCAGCATTAGGCTGGCCATCCTCAGTCATTAGGAAGATTTCGGAGGCTGAGATGTGAGAGAATATTTGACATCCAGTCTACTCCACAGCATCTTCTCGCCAGAGCTCATAAGACAGGGACTTTTCCTCCTTCATTTTTTTCAGAGAAAGAAGCTTTTCTCCAGAAAATAAAAATTTTAAAAGGTGCAATAGTTTATTCCAAAATCTTCCTTGACACCAAGGCTTGAGCCCATATAATCTGAAAACAGAGTTCATCACCTAAGCATTGGACAACAGATTAATTTAAACAATCTGAATTCAGTAAGAGGAAGGGAGGGAAGAGAATGAGAAGATAATGGAGAGATTGTGAGGGAGTGCGGCTGAAGAGATGACTCTGTGGTTAAGAGCATTTACTGTTCAATCATGAGGATCAGAGTCAGGACTCTGAAATCCCCATCACAAGCCAGGTAATTAGAATTCTGGCCTCCAGAGCTGCCCAAGACACACTCACTCACACACACACACACACACACAAAAAAAAAAAAAGAAAATAAGATAATGAAAAAGAGGCATGTATAAAGGGATGAACAAAACACTGGACAACAATATCCATATCTGAAACATTCAAATGAACAAGGAAAATTAGGAAGAAAAGTAAGAAGGAGGGAGAAAAGAGAGAAAGAGGAGAGAGGGAGAGAGGGAAAGGAGAAGGTGATGAGAAGAAATTAAAATAGGTAAGTGTAGTTCCATGCTATGGAATTTTAGAAGAGAAGTTTAATGCAATTAAAAAAGAAAGAAAACCAGGTGACTCTTTAAAATGTATATACAGACCTAAAGGGCCAGGTCCCTAAATGACCTCAAATAATCAACCACTTTGCTATCTGCCGTGGAAGTCAGAGACTTATTTCTCTCCCACCTCCAGTGACTCATATGAAACTGCCCCAGGGGCAACTCTTCATTTCACAGCTATTCTCAGTCTGTGGAGCTCTACTGCGATGAGATCTGAGTTAAGCATATAACGGGTGTGTGAACCACCAGTACCT